CGGAACCTCCGGTATTGACAATTTCTCATCGCCGGAATTCTCGTCGGAGATCACCGTGTATGACGGAGGAGCTGGCGGAAAAAATGCAAATTTAGCAGCGATTGATGACGTCACTCCCCCCATTTTTCTTCCCTCTCATCAGATATTCCTGTTTCATAAACCTCTCCCCCGAAACATCTCTTCTTCTCCAAAAACCCCAAAAAAATCCAGCTCAAAATTTGATGACCCAGAAAAATTCCAGCTAAAAATCGACAACCTAGATAAAATGGAGCTAATATATGAAGACCCAGAAAAATTACCGACTACCCGACAAAATTCCAGCTCAAAATCGATAACCCAGAAAAATTAGAGCTATAATACGATGACCCAGATAAATTCACCGACTACCCAGACAAAATTTCAGCTCAAAATCGATGACCCAACAAAAAATTGAGCTGAAAATTGAAGACCCAAAAAATAAAAATCCAAACACAAAATCGATAACCCAGAAAAATTAAAGTTTGTATTAAAAAGATGACCCTTTACAGTTCAATCAAAACCCTGGAAAAGTGGGGGTGGGGAATCTTTAACGATGTGGGGTTTTTTGAACGTTGAAGGAGGGAAGTCAGCTTTCGAGAGGAGAGAGAAAGAGAGGGTCGTATTTGTGAATTGTGATGACGGCGACAATGGGGGTTGTAAGGTAAGGTGAGGTGAGGCGGTATGATTTTGATTGAAATTAACCAGAAAGAAAGAAGATTGATTATAATTTAGAAAGAAACAGAGTAGTAGTAGTTGTATACTTGTATTATTGATGGATTACAGAATTGCAAAAAGAGGGGTTTCTGTAAATTTAAAATTCATGGTAATAAAAAAAGAAGTTTGGGGCTTTTTTACTCAATTAGAGGGTCAAAAAATAAATTCAGTGTTTTTGATTGATTGATATGATATGATTGATTTATTTATTTTTATTATGAGTGGAGAGGAATATTAAGGTTTTTATTTCACTTTATTTTAATAAGAAGAGAGGATTAGTGAAAATAAACATTACTGGATGATTTGTCTGAATTTTGTGGATGTTTGTATCACTTTCATATTCAATCCAAAAATATTTTCTCATTTTGGTCAATTCAATTCCAAGTCTTTGCTAGTGGAAACAAATTTCACCATATCTGTAAAAAAAAACATTAAAATTTAAGGGAATTTTGTCTAGAACTGCCCGTAAGATAGGGTCATTTGTAAACAACTACTCATTTTTTTTATTTATTTACAACTATCCGTAAGTTTGAAAAAGTTTGGGTAACACTACCCATTAACGTTTTCTATCCAAAAAACCGTTCGTGGGCCCCACATTGTACAAGTGTCAATTATTTATTGGATAAAAAAAAAAAACAAAAAAAAAACCCAGTCACCCCAACCACCGTGAAACCCTAGCCCCTACCCCCAGCCACCACCAAAAACCGGCCGGCCGCCACCCTAAACCTCCGAAAACGGCCGACCGGAACCCCTTGACCACCAATCAGCCACTGCCACCCCCTTTCACTGCAGGCAACCCTTACCCAGGACCCACGAATCCTCCCCAACCACCGCCTCTCCTCCCTCTCTATCCTCTAACAACACCAAAATCCACCATCACACACCATTTTAAACACCGACCCAATTTCGATTGTAGGTGGTGGTTTCGATTTCGGGTAAGGAGGGATTCGGTTTCGGGTTTGGGGGAGGGTGGCTCGAATCCGGGTGGCTCGTCAAAGGAGAGAGAGGGCGGTGCGGCGAGTGACCCCAGTGTGGGTCGTGGGTCGAAGGAGATAGAGAGAGGGTCGTCGGACTGGTAGGGGTGTCGGGTTGGAGTGAAGGGTTGGTGGCCGGCCGTTTTCGGAGGTTAAGGAGGGCGACCGACCGCTTTTTGGTGGTGGCTGGGGGTAGGGGCTATGGTTTCACAGTGGTTGGGGTGGTTGGTTAGTGGCTGTTTTTTTTTTTTTTGATCTAATAAATAATTGACATGTGTACAATATAGGGCCCACTAACGGTTTTTTTATTGAAAAACATTAATGAGTAGTGCTACCCAAACTTTTTCAAACTTGTGGGTAGTTGTAAACAAATAAAAAAAAATGGGTAGTTGTTCACAAGTAACCCTATCTTGCGGGTAGTTCTAGACAAAATTCCCTAAATTTAATAATACATCATATTCCTCCTCCTTCTCACCGTTCTACCCTATTTTAAATTTGTTACTCCGTAATTATTTCTATTTGGTTATTTTATTTGGTCTTGTTTGATGATCAATTATTAGTTCTTTGACTTGACTTCATTGAATTTACTGATTTGATACATTAGTTGTTTATTCCGTTGATATAATCGATGATTTCTAAAAATGTTTGATAAAATCAATATTCCGTAATTGATTGTGCATCTATATAATAATGTTTTGGATAAAGGCTAGCAACCATTTTTAGATTGTAATGAAATTTGATTAAGGAGTTGTTGATGATGCTTGGCTATTTATAGTTGTCTTGTTGGTGGTGAAGTTAGTGATAGGCCTAAGAAGAAGGGGTAGGGGAAAAACGATGAGGCTATGTGTGTGTATGGCCTATCATGCCTATACCATACTTTATTACTTTCCAATCATAAAGAGAAAAAAAAAAAAAAAAAATAGGTCGGAGGTTTTTTAGGTAAAAAATAACACAACCTTTTATTTAATTATTTAGAATACATTTGCAGAACTCCTAGTGATTTTAATCGAATAACATTACTTACATACTTCGTATGATTGAAATGAGAATTTCTTTTTCTTTTTTTTCTTTTTTTTAATAAAGATTTTCTTATAGTTAATACCTAGCAAAATGTTTTATAGACAAAGATAAGGACTTATCTATCTATATTTGGAAAATTAAAACAACCTCATTTTTCACTCTTTTTTTTTCTTTAACTTATTTTTTTAACATAATTCATCAAAGTCTTCACCATACATTAACTAATGATGAAATCCCTTATAAAATGATCACATATGTACAAAGAAAATCATTTTTCTACAGATCCACTTGTAATAGACCAAAAGAGCTCTAGTTAAAAAAAATTAATGCATGACTCATTCCATGTGGTAACATTTTGGTGTTGTGGGCTTCCAGTCTGCATATTATGGGCTTTAATTATTATCTCTGGTATCTACAGACTACAGAATGATCTCCTAACCTTTTTTTTTTTTTTTTTGTGGCATTATTATTATTATTATTTTTTTAATTTAATAAAACAATAGATAGCAAGCAACATGCATAGTAGGGGCTCTCTATAATCAATAATCATCATCTCCAGATAATAATTTTGTCATGTTGCATTTAACTTTTGTAAGATGATTATTTTGAGGCTGTTTTAGTTCTATATAAAGTGATTTTTGGAAGATAATTTTTTGTTTCTTCTTTTTACTCACAATAAAACAAAAGCTTTTGTTTTCTATTTGACGAACTAATGTAAAAAGAAGCAAAAAAAAAAAAAAAAAAAAAAAAAAAAAAAGGGAGTAGAAAGTAAGAACACATGAACACTATATAACACACATTATTTATAAGGTAAATTGAACCTACCTATTCAATAAATCATTTTAATTTATATATTTGTGGGTGAATTTTTTATTTAATTTTTTCTAAACACTTGAGTTTATGGGATGAATTTATATATTACGGAGTATATAACAAGTCTGCCTTATTTTTTTTTTTTGTTTTTTTTCCTATTTTTTTTTAGCATGTTCAAGTACTATAAAAATCAGGGATTTAGGGGGAACTCAAACTCAAAGGTATGTAGCAACTCAAGAAAAGCAAATGTGCTATTGGCCTTGGAGCTTGGAGGTTTGACCAACGACCATGCAACTTTGCCTGCATTATTGGCCTTTTTAGGGGATCAAAAAACTTTGAAATGTTAAAAAGTGTAAATTATATAGGGTGGAGGTTGGCTTATCGTTATCATGATGCAAGAAATGTATACTTCAAATGTTGAAGTTTACCATAAAAATTAAGAAACACATTCATGCTAGCACTAATAGGACCATTTCTAATTATCCTGCCTAAATCAACTCTCTTTGTTTCGAGTTAGGTCCTGTTCTTAGAGCTGCTCTGCTCTGTTCTGCTATGCTGTGCTCTGCTGACGCCTGTTGTGCTCTGCTTGTCCAAAAGCTCAAAAGAACAAAGCTTTAGTTTTCACGATTTGGACAATATTAATTTAACATATAGTTGAATCTTTCTCGACAAATTGCAATTTTAGTGTCCAAATTTGATAGATTATGCAAATAAGCTATTTATGTAAATGATTTTTTGTACTTCGTATATTATTTAGTTTGTATTTCCTAGTTTAACCTGGAATACTCTTGTATTTATACTTGTTTAATGGGTGAGAAAGGCACGACAAATATTCTCACATGGTATCACGAGTATAGGTTTCTTTCCTCTCAAATCCTAATTCTCTTCCACACCCTTCCTCATTTCTTCTCCCATGGCTAAATCAAGCAAGCTCCATTCACCCATTCTTGTGACTAACATCAAGACTTGCATTCCTATCACTTGATAATAATGTACACAAACAAGGTTTTACTATGAATTGATATTGTGATGCAAATGGTATATTAATAGCGGTTACTTAGCTTTGTCGATATTCCAATGTACACAAACAAGGTTTTACCATGGGTTGATATCGTGATACAATTTATATATCAGTGGTTGTTACATACTAAGTAGTATAACTTTGTTGATAATTAATCCATATTTAATAGTCAAAATTAACACACTTTGACATTAAAATTATACAAACCATGTTTTTTTAGTGGGTTGAGAGCTAAACTAATGTAATGTGGAAGTATTATCATTTAATATTTCATTCTATGTACTTGTAATTAGCTATCTCAAAGGTGTGAATCAATGGTATGCAAGTTGTGTGCTAGAGAGTATCAAAGGAAGCTTCACTTCCAAACTTAAATTTAATTACCAATAATTTCATAAATTTTGGTCAAAGTAACCCTATTTATACTCCAAAACATCTAGATCTACACTGATTTAACACGGTAATGCACAAAAAATCCACTCATTTCCCACATCTTCTGGCTTTATTATTTCATACTACCAAAATTACATATATAAACTCAAATTGTCAAAATTAATAATTCTATAACTAGAATTATGTAACAATGTATGAATTACTCCCTCAAATCAGTGATTACCCAGGATTCCAAAATGCATCATTACAATCTCAACATGTGCCACCTCAATTCCTGAAAGCAGCAATCTTTGCTGCAGGTACAATAATTTTTCCCTCCTCTGTTTTTTACTCTGTTTTTCTCTGTTTTTGATCATGAAATGATAGATTAGATTCTAATTAAGGGTTTATTCAGGAAGTTTTCGGGTACCCGAATCGGCATTTGGGAGCATCAATGGAGTTAACAAAACTTCCACTGGTTATATTGGAGGAAGCCTTAGAAAACCATCATATGAAGAAGTAATTAGTAATTATTTATTAATTAATTTCTAATGTCAATCAGGATTACTTAAAAAAAGTATTATTCAATTTTATTTAGTTAATTTTGGATTTAACAGGTGAGTGAAGGGGGAACTGGTCATACAGAAGCTGTCAAAGTAGAATATGATAGCAGTATCATTTCATTCTCATCACTTTGTGATCTTTTCTGGGATATTCATGATCCCACTAACAAGGACTATCTTGTAAATTTCTTTAACTTCTGGTCTTTTTATTTACGTAACATGTAATTTGATGTGACTAAGTCTGTTGTATACGGAGTAACGATTTGAATCTGAAAAATGCAGAATTTTGGATTAAGTACCCATGAAAGATCAGTAATTTTTTACTCAACAGAAGAAGAGAGAAAAGAAGCACAAAAATCAAAGATTTGGAAGCAAATGAAGCTTAATAAGAGAATTGTCACAAAGATTTTGTCAATGGAAAATTGTGAATTTTTTTTGGCAGAAAATCAGTACCAGAAATATAATTTGCAGAAACACTATAAACTTTGTGGAAGTTTGGGCTTAAGAAGCACAGTGCAATTTGTGGAGTCAAATATAGCTTGCAAACTTAATGGGTAATTTAACTTTATAAGCATTCATTTTTCTTAATTATAGTTATACACTTTTACACTTTAATCTTTGCTAATGTTGATTAAGATATAAGTTTAATCTTTGATTCTTTGCTAATGTTGATTAGGACAGGCAATAAAAAGTCAACGATTTCATGCTAGCATGATGGTAGGTTTATAGGAGTATAAAATTTCATGTTCATGTTTATATATACAAAGTATGGAGTATTATTTTTTTTTTAAATCCTTTGTGTGTTAGGCAATTGGAATAATTATGTAGAGAGCACAAGGCATCCATTTGAATGTTGAAAGTCCTAGGTAAATTACTCTTGTAAAATACATAGTCAATGTGAGTAGTTTATGAATGAATATGAAATTGAAGGCGATTAAAATTAAAAATAACTCCGTAATAAAAAGAGTGAAGGAAAAAAAAACATTTCACGACTACTATGACTATTTACAATTCTAAAAGTAAACTTTTTTCTAGAAAGTTATTTGTTGATCACTTGATCGTGTAGTAGATTAAAATACATTTCACTTAATCACTTGATTGATTGGTTTAAAATATTCTGCATTTTACCATTGAAAGCGTTGTCTAAAATTGCTTGTTTATTAACTGTTAGTTTTATTTATTTATAATTTAAACCAGAAATTTTAGGTTTCGTAGTTTCAATAAATTATGAACTCTAATACAAGTAGTACTATTAAGTACGGAGAAATTAACATAATGCAGCTATGAAATTTATTAAATGACACAAATCTAATCTACCTGAATAAATTTCTGTATGATTATTGATTGAAGAGGATTGGATTTGTGTCAGAAATAGTTCGATGATGTACCAGGATGTACCTTCGTCATGTCCATGTTCAACCATGCAGGCCCCTGGTCATTAGCTTAATCAATACACTGTATTTTCCTACTTTTATAAATACTCCAATATAAATACTTTTGTCATAGTGGGCCTATTAATCTAATTACGTTTTAGGGCCCTGGATTAAGATAAAAGCAAAAATATGTCTTTGCCCAAACAAATAGAGCCCATTTTAATGTTTAGGTAATAATGTCATTGGGGATCCAATGTTTATATAGCTTTGATGCCTTTGAAGTAACTAAAGCATGCAATTGTTGTATGAGGCTGACATACGATAATTAATTTGTTGTAAGACCGGAGTGACTTTTATAATACGAAGTACTTGTACTCTATATATTTTAAGGGGTGACTTTTTTTGTTGCATTAAGTTGTTGTAATAATGCTTCGTGATAGGTTTTGGTGAGTCAATATTACATGAGATTTGTTTGTCATAGAGTTGTTTTTTTCGGTTTGTGCAGAATTTTGGGGATGATGAATAAAGAACAAAAACTTGATGAACTTGCAATTTTTCTGGAAATTCAGGAGTTGCCTAATCATGCAAAGTTAGATTGTGAAGAAATTATTGAAGATTTAAGAGCGCTGAAAGAGAAGTAATACACAAATATGTACCAAGCATATAATGGTTTGAGATTTTGTTCCTAAGTGTAATTTCTTATTGGCCGAATTATAGCTAAAGGTCCTAGCTAGCGAAATGACAGTTATAATTCATCCAATTTGTTTTAAATTGTGAAATCATTACCTTATATAATTCAAAATAGATAAAAAGAGCATAAAATTTGTTGAATAATTTAGAGTATTGTAGACATTATTCATGTTGTTTGGTTAATTTGCTTAGGCTAAGGGTGTTGCAAATCAATTAAGCAAAGAATGAGAGCAAGAATTATCTCGGTATAGAGAAGTGGTCCTCTGCCCGATAGTCCGCCCGGCATGGCACGAGAGCGAAGAAAGATTAAACGATGTCAGCCGCCCGGCAGGGCGCGAGCGCGCTCAGATCTATCTGGGTTGCTTGGTTTCTCTCACCCGGCAGGGCATGGGGTGGTTCTGACGGTTATCTTTGTTGTTTGCTTGGTATTTTGCTCTTAATATATATGATTGCTCATATGATGAAGAAAACTGAATATTGTTCTTCTTGAAAAACCTTTTGCAAGTTAATTTTCATCATTCAAATTCACAAAAGCTTATTTACATTGTATTGTAATTATCCTATTTGTGATTGCAATTGACCTTCGTTGTATCTCCTGAGTAAATTTCCGTGATACCCAGTTGTAGTATAGGGTCGGAATTATACTTTTGGGAATGTGTTTCCGTTCACGCCTCAAAGTCTCTTTTCTGATGTTCCTTTTCTTTGTTCTTTGTGACCCTTGTAAACACAAAATCCCCAACAAAATTCAACTTAGTTTTAATACTTGATCTAAAATTTATATCGTTTTAAGTATCTTATTATATATTATCTGCTTTAATTCAAGTCAATTTTTCTAGTTTTTGAGTAGATCCGTAATCTAATCACTACATAATTACTTTACTTGATGTTATATTACATCTATTTATGATAAATGAAACTATTGTGGGGTTTATACTTTATAGTAAGTGGAAAATTATTAAGATATTTTTTAACAAAAAATTAGCTCTTTATCTCTCACTATAAAAAGTGAATTTGTATGATTAGTAGAAAACTAAAGTGTATTCTCGATAGAGATTGGTGAGTTCGTTAGTTTTAATTGAGTAACATAGAAGCTTTACTAATTGGCGATGGAGAAATCCACTAGGCACAATATTATTAGTTTATTAATTTCATGCAATCAGTTTGGTAATAGTTACAAAAATCATTTTACACCTTAACTTAATGATTATGTTTCTTAATCGCAAATTAAGAGTTTTGTGGCTAATGTTATAATACACCACACCCACCACGTGGTTGTATTTACAATCGTATTGCCAACTTGTCTTGGTACTATGTTAGCAAGCTACACAAGTTATCAAAGGCTCGTTTAATTACAACTTTTATGTGAGGGTTAGGGATCCTCGTAAGCTTATATAAGCACTTGTACATTGTACTTCGAAATATTCAACTTTATGATCTCAAGATTATATATATGGTGAATTTTTATCTTAATACGCTAATTAACTTATTTGGTTCATTTAATTATTCACTTAGATTGTTAGAGTTGCTACAATTTCATATTGAGGATGAGGATTATAATTACAAGACAAAATTAATATTAATTTGCATCATATTCCATGGCTTTATTTTAAGAAAAGACATTTAAAGAAACACGATGATTTATAGCCACATTTGTTTGTATCAATTTTAGAACGCAAGCGTACTAAAAGTAGTTGTTATTATTGCATTTAGTTATTGTATATTTGTAATAGTTGTTACGTTAAAGGTTAATTGTCACATTCTTAGTGTACAACACACTTAAATGTCATAATAGACTGAAGGCTAATAGTAGCGGGAACGACTTTGATTAAGATCCTGATTGTTTAACTTATTTTAGTCAAAATAAGTTAAAAAGAATAAGTTCAAAATAAATATAGAGTAATTAAGTTCAGACAAAATAAGTTTTTTTTTTCAAAAATTTCGGTTACAATTTCAAATAAGTTCAAACAAAGTATGTTCAGACAAAATCATAAGTTAACTAAATAGAAGTATAATTTATACAAAATCAGACGAATCAAACAAAACTTAAGAGAGTAGATGTGTAGCTTTTAGAGGTAGCAATCAAATTATACTAAAACCTACCTAAAAACATCACTTTACATTTTACAACACCATTTTTTTTTACAAGACTTGCATCATTAGCTACTTTGAATATTATTATTTACAAGTAGACGTGTTTTAAAATAAGATTGTGTTATACATAAACAAATACAATTGGATAATAATCTATCATAAAATTCCATACAATAATTCTATAAACGTTTAAAATGAAAGGTATCTATATACGAGTAATACAATAACGAAAATTACAATTATCAGAAGCAATTTTCAGGGCTTAAAAAAATACAGTAGTACTAATAAATTCTTATAGAAAACCAAAATTAGTTTTTTAAAATAAAGGGAATGTGGGCTGTGGAGGATTGATCACCTTTAGGGCCAAATCAATTGTCTTTATCATCAAAGTGCTCGCTAATGTCCTTTGCCACTTGCATCGCAAGTCACATTGGACTGACTCCCTCACTCTAACTGATTAGGTCCCACACTCTTTTTTCTTTATCCCTAACCTCTTTTAATTATTTATTCTCCCCTTTTAAATATTTTTATATTCCGCCAAATATTAAACAACAAATTTCCAAATTATTTGAGCTCAATCTTTCCTAAGTGAGACAAAATTTTGAGGTGCCACATCTCTTATAGAGTTATAGGGGACAAATTCTGTTTCAAATTCTACCTCACAACCCAAATGTTGCAGCGAAATTGTTGCAATATTTGTTCAACAAAGGTTTAAGAATGTATCATTCATTTCTTTAATTATTTACTAAGAAAAAATAAATTAAATATACCATATTCAATTAATCTTAAATGCTAACGTAATTCGAATAAGAATCGACAACTAAATAATCAAATTTAGCATAATTAATCTCCTTTATAAGACACCAAGAGTGACACGATTCATGAGAACATCGTGCTTAATTATAGTGTAACCTACGTACTTGTTTCGAAAAAAAAAGGTGTAACCTACGTGTAAAGTTGTGACGAATGCAATCCAATCTCAGTGGTTAACTTAACTTAGGAGTATATGACTATAACTAATTGATATTTTTCATACTAAGGATAAATTAGGCACTAACATAATCTATACTCGATTTCTTTTACACCATAACTAGAATCCTTACTCAAACTAAAACTAAACCAAATGACGCATTGAAAACAACTTCAAACGAATTGAATCAAATCCACTTACCAACTCCCCCCCCCAAAAAAAAAAATTATCAAATTTCTAATTTCTAATTATAAAAAGATAAAAATTAACGAAAGTTATGAGACGTTGAATAAACTAACTAAAAATAGAATTATTAAATTAAAATAATAATACAGAGTGCTTGTAATAATAATTGTAAATTTATTGTAATAAACAAAAGGAAATTCGATTTATTTATTTATTTATATATTCCCATCATATTTTCCCAAAATATTTGTTTATCATTATCATCATCATCATCCGTACAAATTCTGCAAAACACAAACTTATGGCGACTGTTCAGGAATAGCGACCAGCACAGGCCGCCACGCTCTCCTCATCAACAATCTCTGCCTCAACGTCGCCGAAAACGGCCTCACTCCGCCGCTTCCTACTCTCCGCGCCGCCGCCAACCCGCCGTCTCCGACACCGGAACCTCCAGTAGCCGGTAACAATCTACGCTGTTCATCTTCCTCATGTTCTGGAACCTTCGTCGGCGAAGGAGAAGGAGAAGACGATACGAAGAGATCCTTGAGCTTAAGCCTCGCGCCGAGATTATTCTCCTTCTCACTCGCCGATTTCTGGTCGGCGAGTTTCGGCCGACCCGGCGAGTCAACTCGGCGATTACTGTGATGAATGAATCGGCGGTTGAATGCGCTGGTGCTGTTACCTCGGCCTCCGAGCAGCATTCGTAGGGTTTTGCGACGGCGGATGTGGATAACCGGGCTTGTTGTCGGGCTTCGGGTCGGGCTTCCGATAACTGCGCACTGTGTAGCTAGAAACTTAAATTTCTGTAGCGTCGCCATTTTTGGCGTGTTTTCCCTAAAATTAGGGAATGGATTTGAATTTGGTGGAATTTTTGATGAGAAGAGAGAGAAAGTGGAGATTGCTTTGGGGTGAGGCAGAAGAAGATGAAGAGAGGGAAGTGGGGAAATGGGAAAGTAAAGGGTAATTAGGAAGCTTTGCTTTTTATTTGGAGAATATTATGGAGTATTGCTTAAATGCTTTGTCTTTTCATTTTTTTCTTTTTTAATTTTTTTTATTTAAGAGTAGGAGTTTTTTTTTTTTTGAGGTTTGATCCATTTCAAACCGTTCTTCGAATCAACGTGTGTAATGTCCTTGTGATTACACTGTGTCACTGATACACAGGAATAATGTCCCTCCTCGGAATAAAAGTTAAGTCGACTCTGTTCTTTTAAGCTGTTCTACTTTGCTGTAATTTGATCTGATCTGCTCTATTCTACAGTGTTGGAAACTCTGCTCTGTTGATCCCAGCTCTACTCTGTCCAGAAGTTCAAAAGAACAGGATCTTAGACCGGTGTAAATTTTGTAGACATTTTAAAATAGTATCGTACTCCGTATTATTGCATATGTGATAATAATTAGGGTATCGATAGGTAGATTTATCAATTGAACTTGGTATCTGTGAGTCCGTAATAATTGTTTATCATTTATTATGGTTTTTTTTTTTTTTAATAAGCTCAAGTTGTAATAAAAGAGTAATTTGTTTGTTCATGCGTGTTTATGAGAATAGATACTAATCTGAGAACGAAAGACAATGGGTATATAGCAATAATAGAAAGAAGCCAACGTATTAGACAAATATGGTGCAATTTAGAGATTCTTTTCCACAATGCAATCCAAAAATATAATCTGATACAATATTATCCATCACACGTTGTATCCAAACATAACGGATCCAATTCTAAATTTCTTTAAATCTAAGCACAGTTAAAGTAATGCGCCAAATTATTTTTATGTCATCATGGCTTACTCGGTAATAGCGACGAAATGACCTAATTGTTTGTGGGAGCTACCGAGCTAGGACTAACTAATTTTAAGGTGTTTATTTTTTATTTTTTCAAACATTAATTTTGATCATTAGATCCTTTTAGCGCAAATATTATAAATCGTACAGAGAAACATGCTCATTTTTTCTACAGTTTATAGAATGTGCATAAAAAAATATAGGAATTACTCAGTATTATAATATACTACCTCCATTTTATATTTTTTTTTGCAATTTTGGGGTATTATTTGTGAGATAGAAAATAATCCTAAAAAAATGAAACGGAAGTAGTATATGGATAAAAATTTACTTAAACTAGTGTTTACCAAGTACATACTAAATTCAATAAACTCCTTAGCTATTGCCATTAGGATATGAATTACCAAAATAATGTATCATAATTGGAAATGAAACTTAATTGATATATATATATATATATATATATATATATATATATATATATATATATATATATATATATATATATATTATATATATATATATATATATATATATATATAATTTTAGATTAATTCGTTTATTAATAAAATTTGAATCTAAAATTTATTCGTTTATGCTAACACCAATGAAGCAAATGGATCAATTGTTAAAAATAAAAATAAAATTGTGGTACCATATTCAAACAAGGATAAATCACTTAGTGGTAGTTTTTGTAGTTTTCTGACCAATAATAATCCATCTAAAAATTTCGCAAATCTATGAAACCTATATTGTATGCACACAAGTACACAACACATACACAAAGTACCATAATTTAGCAGCTTTTGGTCCAGATTTTCCCAATACGTAATGTTTAGATCCATTCAAAATATGGGAGTAAAAAAGCTTTCTTGAATATTCAATGCGCCGAAAAAGGAGTAAAAGAAGAACGTCCATTAAAAGAATTAAAAGCATAAAGTATATAATATGCTCTTATCAACAAATTAGAAATTTTGTTTATAGGATTAGCGTGGTATCTTAGGAAAAGGTAAGAAATTTGATTTTCACTTATTTTTCTTGGAACTTTTCTCCTTGTACCATTTTTCAAACAATTAATAGTGACCAAAAACATCTATGGGTCGCGGGGATTGTCATACACGAAATGAATTAATATCTTCTGTCCCGCTTTTGTGTATCATAATGTGTGTTTGTATATCGCTCATCTATAGTCATTACTTCCGATTTAAAAGAGGTACATCACTGAACAAATTAATGAATTTAGATTAGACGCATGCAGATGTTATTACAGGAAAAACGCAAGAAAGTATTAGTTAAGATCAAGAGCATAGAGTCAAAATTCATGCTAGGATTCACACAGCAGCACTAACATCATCTTGTATGGAGTACTATTTACAGATTTCTAAACTATTCACCCGTTAACTAATCTCCATTAGCAACCTCCAACTAAGTAGGATAAGTAAAGCATTTTCAATTTTCATCCTCATAGATATCTTATCAAGCATTTTAGTAATGATCGCAATGTCATTTCTTGCTAAAATCGATAACTATAAGAAAGGACTTACTATTAGTCATTCTTCACCTGATGCTTTTGTTACTCGGCTCTGTTTCGGGTGAAACTGGAGGAGGGACATTTTTCAAAAGCCCTACATCATCGTTTTCATGGATATCCACCACTACTTGCTTTTGCGAGTTCTCCAATTCCTTCTGTATTCCTTTCAACGATTCAAGCACTTCTTTCATTGAAGGCCTTGCCTCTTTCTCTTGCTGCAAACACTGAAAAGCCACTTCTGCTACTAGCTTCACCATCTTTTGTGCAAGGTGGTCCTTTTCACACCAAAGTTTTGGATCAACCAGCTCATTGAATGCGTGTTTCTGGATTCTGTCAACAGCCATATTGGCCAAATTGATATCATGCCTATGCCGGGTGATATCTACTGCAACTTTTGATGATATTAGCTCTGCTAAAACAACTCCAAAGCTGTAAACATCGCTTTTTTCCGAGAGCTGATAGCATTGATAATATTCAGGATCAACATAACCAGGGGTTCCCTGCGGTGCTGTGGACACATGGGTTACGTTATCTGGAAAAAGTCTTGATAACCCGAAATCAGCCACCTTCACCTTGAAGGAGTCTTCCAAGAGGATATTTGTGGTCTTCACATCTCGGTGTATTACATCATTTTCATGGAGGAAAGACAGGGCCTCTGCTGTCTCAACAGCAATGCTGAGCCGTGTGGACCAAGAGAGTACATTGGACTGTGCAAGCTTCCCATGAAGATGATCAGCAACTGTTCCATTGGAGACGTACTCATAAACTAGAAGGAGCTCTCTGCTTCTCCTTGAGGTGCATCCATAAAGGGCAACCAGGTTCTTGTGCCTTAAGCGAGCTAGAATATGGATTTCATTCATGAACTGTCCCATATGCCTGCAACTATTCTCATATAAGCGTTTGACAGCAACTAAGCGTCCATCATTGAGCTTACCTGAAGGGAGATAATCAAGAAAAGTTAAATGGGACAAATAATCAGGATAATGGAGTTCAAATAATTAGGATAATCAAGAAAAGTTAAATGGGACAAAAGATCTTACATAAAATCATCAAACATAACCCCAATATCATATCCCTAACTTCCTCCATTTCATATTGACAGACGTATTTTTCTCTCTTGGTCTATTCAAATGAACTGCCTTAAAAGATCATTATTACTTGGAAATTGATGTACTTAGTAATAGATAACTAAACATAGATGTGTTACTAAGGGTATGGAGAATTTTTTTTCCGAATCTGGTAGTTATTTTTTCACCAAGTATTAATGTATGAAAGTTAAATGGGACAAATAATCAGGATAATGGAGTTCATCTTACCGTAATAGACAGTACCGAAGCCACCATCTCCCAGCTCCCGAGACTCATGAAAATGCTCGGTGGCTTCTTCAAGCTCATTGTATCCGAAGACCTTAACACCTAGGTAGTCGGCAGAATTTTCAAATTCTGACTTTGAGGAAGGATAAGAAGGAAGACTCTGAGACAGGTTGGTTGAAGGACTAGTTGTGTAGCCTTGGCTGTAACGATATTCATTGCTCGTAGCAGTTGTAGGAAGGCCATTGCTTGGATTACTGGGACCAAGATCTTTGGATTGAGCCTGGGCGAGTGATTGCCTTCTCCTTCGAACAGCAAAGATGGAGCAACATAAAAGAGCAGCTGCAACAAGTGCGCCTCCAACAGATACCCCTGAAAATGAAATCAGAAGAAATTCTTAAGACTACTGATATATACGAAGTATAAATTATCTTACGCATGAGTTAATACAGTAATTTTCAGGACAACAAAATTATACCTATTATAACTGCCGGCTTGGTGCCACCTGCAGTAACAATTACAATATGTGGACTAGTCAGAGTAGAGATCAAAAGGAACACAATTTATAGATTATATTGGAACATGAAAACAAAGACATTCTGAAAAAAAAAATGGAGAAATAAGAGAGGAAGCGTGGGTAGTTGAATTTGTTCCTAAAACAAAAGTTGAATTCTATAGTCTACTCAAAGCATTTTTCAACAAATACAGTCAAATAAAAAATACGAAGAATATCATTTAAATTAATAAAAAGGGTTGAATTGAATAAGCATACGCCATATTCAGTCATCCCTTGCGTAGTATGATATCATTTCACAACTTTGTAAGATAATAAAACTTCATTATTAGTAAGCTGCAAAATATAAAGTAATCGTAGATTTTTTTTTGATGTTAAAAGAGCCACAAGGGCGGGGGTGAGAATCAATCTCAGGATTTCTTGGAATCGGGAAGGAAGAATTAACTACATTAAAATACTAAATCGTTTAGCATTATGCTCATCAGGAAGTTTAGGACTTATAAAACGCAGAATGCACAAATATTATACAGGGATGAAAAAAAAAAATATGCGAGCAGAAACTGACGTAAGTCACTATGTAGCTGCCAGAAGAGCTTTGTATAATCAAAGCATCAGAAACGTATGACTTATACTTAAATTTGTGAAAGAACACGGCTGCTTAACTTCAGAATGGTACAAACCTTCATATGTGTAAAAAATCAGCTTAATATCAAGATTACCACATCTGAAAGGCTGCTAACTGTATAAAGACATCAGACATCCCTATAGCTAAAATCACATGGCTTGCTAAGGATTATTATGGGCACTACTGAACAAAACCCCACTTTCTCCAACTAATAGACATTAGTTACAGTAAAAACCAGTTTTCTTCAATAATATTCAGTAATTAACAAGTAAAAATCAGTTTTAATTTTAAAAATCCAGTTCAGATAATTGATAAGTAAAGTAAAATTCAGTTGGAGAGAACTGAACCTGAATAAGTTAGATAAAAATATCAGCATGAGGAAGTAAAGGAGTCATACCAGGGCATTTAGAAGCGTAAGGTTGATCAGGACAAAAGCAAGTAAATCTACTCATAGTAGTATTATACCCACATTCCCCACCCGATTTGCGACACTTATTACACACATCATTCTCTGCTTTCCACTCTAATTCAAAACCATAGCGTAATGCTGCCATTAAGCTTATTGTATCTACTATCCTCAGAGCAGATGATTCATAATTGGTAACAGGCACAGTAATGCTTCTGTTGCATGCATCCCGTGGGATATTCTTGCCTGAGGGGGAGTACTCTGAATCATTGGCAACGAAATAGCCAAACGGACTACGAGCATCACTACTTAAGTTTGCACATCTAAAAGAATTAGTCATTGGGGTAGAAACATCAGGACAACCATAGTAAATGGTGACATTATCATCCAGGTCTACATAACTGAAGAGGTCGCAGTTAATGCTGGTATTATGCAGATTCCCAGGGCAATAACCAGCCCAGTAGTCTTTTCTCGCAACAGTAACAATAGGCTGATCTGGTTTCACCCCAATAACGTAATACCTCTCTGACGGTGCAACTGAGATATCTGGAGGACTGCTGCTGCAGTCAAGCTGAAACCCGGGATAACCACAGTAATCAGGACGAATGTGACCGTCATAGAAAGGGTAACTTAAGTTAGAGACAGTTCCACACTTAAAGGGCTTGTTGCAGTCTTCGTACCTCTCATCATCAGCATAAGCATAATGTTGGAGGTGGAATAAGCGAAAGATGATGAAGAGAACGAGGAAGACGGTAGAGAGACAAGAGAGTTCCATGTTAGAAATGAAAAATGAAGAAAGATTGATTATCAAACACCATGTTTGATCAATTTTTTCTTTCAAAGAGTGGTTGTTGAAAAGAACAGCTAATGCTGAATAATATTTGTCCACAAAATATCACTGTTGACGGCCAGGGGTGGTGAAGAGACTAAATGGCCGTTGAACGTAGACTTATAAGGCCAATATATGGAACTTTCTTGTCAACTCAACTCGAAAGATTTAAAAGTGGAGGGAAAGATAGACTTGTCTTCATAAAAATAACATCTCCTTTAATACTTTTCTATTATGGCCTCCTTTGTCTTCACTCTTCACCAAACATCCTTAGCCTGGTCAATGTGCCAAAAATGTTTTCTTTGACTTCGTAGACCACTGTAATGTGTTTAACTACTGTCGCGGGTTGGTTTAGTCCCTAATATATGACACGGAGTATATTTTTTTTCCTTTTATTTTAACTTGTAATGTTAAACTCACCAGAGACAATCAAAATTGATTATGTAAATAATATAGATTATAAAAATTAAAACGTTGCAAGTAAAAAAAAAATTAAAAAATGGAAGTTTTTTTTTTCTTTTTAGCTTTTGAAGCTTAGAGTCTTAGACAATGAAACCTGTTTCATCTTATCAATAACCATAGTTGGCCAATTCAAGACCGGCCCTAGCCAACCCGGGATTGGAACAGACGAAGTTGGTTGAAGCCTCAACTGGTTATGTTTGGCAACAGTAGTAATTATAGTACTCCGTAGTGTTTTCCTCCGTTTAAGTTATCTGTTAAAATAGCTTTTGAACCGTTAAATAAATTATTAGATAAAGAATCATTCTGTGCCTTTAAAAAGCCAATACTAACCCAACAAGATAAAAGCTAGGCTTGCTCCCAGATTACTACCTTTACAATTCTTAATTTCATCCAACATTAATTAATTCTAGAGTAACAAATCTAAAGTATACCCATTTAAAATAACTGCAGTATTCAAGCCCAGCCCAACACACAGATCAGTAGGAAACGGGTGGGTTTGGTACTTCCGCGCTATGTTACCCGGACTCGAGTACACATGTCCGCCATGTACTTGAGGTGAAACGAAGAGTCCGAGTTACATAGCTTCCGGTACAGGCTTACCCGTGGCATGGTCCTCCCTATCCTAAAGCCTGTGGTCACCTACACCAAAAACTCAATGAAAACAGTTTTTTTTTGGATAACCAAATGAAAGCGAAAGGACTCATACCGTGATAGCAAGTGAAATTTCTCTGGCTAAAATCATACCCGCACTCCCCACCTGATTTTTGGCAATCATCACATTTTTCGTTGTCAGCTATCCACTCTAATTCGAAGCCTTTTTCAAAGGCACTCTTTACGCTGTCTGAATCTTTCAAAATATCTCGAGATTGATGGAATAATGGGACAATGATATTGCTTTGGCATGTAATTTGTGGGATATACTTAACACCGATCTTAAAGTAAACTACAGGAAAACTATAATTTATGTTCAGACAATCATACGGAATTGCTGAACCTGGGGATGACATAACAGGAGATGGAGTAGGACAATCATAGTAGAAGGTAAAATTTGCAACTTCATCTGTGTACTTGTAAAGGGTGTAGTTTAAGGTGGTATTGAACAAATTTTCCGGGCAGGAAGTATTCCATAATTCTTTTGGAGTAACAGAGATTGTACGTGAACTTGTATTTATATTTAGAAGACGATGTTTCTCTAATGACTGAGTAACTGAAATTTCTGGAATACCACCATATTCATTGTCGCAGTCAAGCTTAAAGCCAGGATAGCCACAATAGTCTGGGCGGGTTTTTTCGTCAAAGAAAGGGTAGCCTATGTCGCTTAAACCTCCACACTGAATGAGACTTTTGCATTCTTTGTATTTGTTAGCCTCGACAGACACATGGAGTAGGATCAAGAGGAAGATGATGATCATGAGGAAGAAAGATGATTGAAAAGAGAGCTTCATCTTTCTGAGTTTTAGAGAAGGTTTAATGGAGAAAAGTAGAAAGAGTTTCAATTTTGTTGGCCTTAGTTGATAACTTATTCAAGGAGAACTACAATTTCTTAAAGTTGGCCCTTAAAGAATAATCAATGAAATAAGTCAAGTTAACAAAAGCATCCTCCCAAATGAAGTCAGAAAATTGGAAAAAAAGAAATGTCCTTGAAATTCTATGGTGATGTAAGCAAATGTTGAAGGTTTTATATTTATATAATTATTTCAATGTACCAGACAATTAAATATAAGCATCATCTACTTAGGAAGGCATTTTTGTTGTTATTCTGAACTTGTCAAAATACCAGTTCAAAACTTTTGACTCCATGGTCCATGCACTTGTGCTTACGGCAGAATTTCATGCATTTTCTCATTTTCCTTACTCTAATATTCTGAACTGCTAAACGTCGCTCCCAATTTACCAGGCGTCACTCCCATTTTGACATGAAAGGACCATATTGCCCTTTCCATAACTTGGAGGCTCCACCACTTGGTTATAAAGATTCCCGAGCACATTCGATCCACTACTTGGTTAAAAAAATTCCCGAGCCCACCACATCCAACCCCACGACATCCAACCCAAAATTCCCAAGCCGCCCACCAAAAATCCCATTTTTTTAAAAAAAAAATTTATTAAGTTTTAGCAACGGGTTTAGGACGATGGATGACGACAACAATCGTACACCGGAGGCATCGTCGGAGGATTCTGTAAGTCCTCAAAATTTTTATTTTTTATTTTTTGAAAAGCGTACATCCGCCTAAAATTTCCGGATCCACCATGGAAGATCCGGAAATTCTAGAAGGATCCACCATTGAGGATCCAAATTTCTTAGGCGGATGTCCAAAATTTAATTTAATTTTTTTTATTGATTAATTAATCAAAACGTTTTTTTTTTTGAAATTAATTAATCAAATCTATTAATTTTTTTTATTGTGATTATTATTATTTTTGTGATAATTTGAGTAATTAGTATTAGTATTATTAGTTAATATTAGTTATTTTTGTGAATTTTCTGTGTTTTTTTTTTTTAAATTTCAGATTTTTAAGTTTATCGAGCGTGAAATGTGTTATAAGTGTCGTGAGTGAGTGTCGTGAGTATTTATATATGAAGGGTAAATACGGAATTTCAAGGAAAAAATGCGAGCGACGCCTAGTAATTTGAAAGCGACGTTTAACAACTCCCCTAATATTTCCTCCTTTCTTGACATTATTCATAAATTCTATTTTGACTTTATTTATGTAAGATCTTATTAGATACGTCTCGATATATTGTATATTTTCATAATCATTTTTTTTTTTCATAATTTTATTTATTGTCATTTAGAGATAACAATAGTAACATGACATCTATAATAATAATAATAATAATAATAATAATAATAATAATAAATAAATAAATAAAAGGGAAGTAGGTAATTTAGTAATCAATAATCATTTTAACTTAAAAAAGACTAAACAAGTGATCTAAAAAAACTATTTGAACCAGGTTCAGGTTTTCGGTCTGCAGGTTTTGCTGATTCTGCTTTTTTTTTTTTTTTTTTTTTTTTATCAGCGTGGCTCCTCCTAAGATTATTTATAGATTACCAGGTCTGTGCTCTACAAATGTGATCCAGACCGATGGCTTTTCATGGGTACGGCCTGGTTGGCTGGCCGGTTGTTGATCAGCTCTATATGGATTATTAAAATCTCAAATTATAGACCCTGATGTACACAAAAATTCAACTGTTACCCATGTATGACCGGTTCTTCATTAAGGTCATGGTAGTAAAAATGGTTTGTTAATTCTGTGAATTACGGAATACGTAGTATCACAGTGAATTAAAGATACCAACTTAAATTTTACTTTTTGACAGAAAAAGAGAAGCTCCCTGTCAAACGCGGGTTTAGGAACAAAAATTCTCTTTGGTGAGGCAAGAAATTTCTGTAGTCTTGACTGGTTTACCTAAGATATTTATAACAAGTCTCACAAATCCTTATCTAAGTGTCGGTATCTTCGAGAGTGCACATTTTCTAGGTAAACTCCTCTCTTCCTAGTTCCTACACATGCTAAGGTGGCCAAAATAAATAACCCTTTCTCTTGAGGATCTTCTTTATTTACCGTCTTCAGATATAACACCTAAGCAAGCAAAAAATTATATAGCCTTTTCCCTATCAATGCATGTTCAACCGTCCATCTAGAACTAAGACAGTGGCCGGTTTATTTAACAGGGAACAATGCAAATCCAAACAAATTCAAGTCCTATACTGCCCCACCCCACACGAACACACATGCGCGCATACACACATAGCAAAAAATGCTGAACATCACAACTCTAAGAAGGTAGTAACAAATAATTTTTTTTTTTTTTCGAGGAATAGTAACAAATTACTTAGGCGACCTTATATAAAGATCACCAAAAATAATTAAAAAGTGAAAGGGCTCATACCGTCACACCTGAAATTATGAATATCATCAGCGCAATAGCAAGTGAATCTACTCAGATTAGTATTATACCCACTTTGCCCACCTGATCCACGGCAATCATCACATAAACCATCATCTGCAATCCACTCTAACTCAAAACCACTCTGTAAAGCTGCATGTAAGCTTGACATATCGGTTATATCTGCAGCAACAGATCTGTAAACTGGAACAGATACATTGCTTCTGCATAAACCCGGTGGGATATGACCAAGGTAGGACTCCAAAAACTTTAGTCATAAAGTAACCCATACCATTGTTTGTGTTAGTACAAGAAAACTGATTTCTTGAAGCTGGATATTCATTAGAACACTCATAATAAAGGGTAACATTTTCATTTGCAGTTTTATAACTGAAAAGGCTGTAGTTTAAGCTGGTATCGGACTAGTTTGGTGGGCAGAAACCATCCCAGTAGTCTTCTCAAGCTACAGAGATAGTATGTGAATCTAGACTCACATGTAGAAGGTAATATTTCTCAGGTGATGATGTTTTCAATGAGATCTCTGGCATATTGTTTTCATCACTGCAACTGACCTTAAAGCCAGGATGACCACAATATGCAGGGCGATATTGATTATCATAGAAAGGGTAGCCTAGGCTGATATTTCCACACTCAATTGTCCTTTTACATTCTTCATATTTAACTCCATTGGCATCAATGAATATAAGAAGTCGGATTAAGGGGAAAATGAAGACAATGTAGAAGAAGCAGGATGGAAGAGACAGCTTCATCTTTGAAAGCTACAGATAGATTATGGGAGAAAGGAGGAAGAGTTTCGGTATAACCTTAAGGAAATTTTGAACATTATATACGAGTCTAGCATCTTTGAACCCTCTTCATAAATGAACTTAGAAATAAGACAAAAGCGTTGGTAATAGTTGATGCAAGGGTTTATCAATTTCTTCTTTGGGGAGAAGCATTGTTTAGATTCAAAGTGCATTAATCTAATCAACTACTCCGTATGAACTTATTTGTTCAGTACCCCAAGTACAAAACTTTGAGACTGTATTTTTGCTATCTATTAATGGCAGCTAAAACCATGTGTTCTTTTTCTTATAAGAACAAGTTGGTATTCAAAATCAGCCAACTGGGTATATATTAGTTCTATGTTTATAAAGCTATTTAAATATACTAAAAGCAGTCACGTTGATTTTTTAAAAAACTAGATTTGCTACTAGTTATTAGACATAACTGACAATAAACATTCTATCTCACAAGTTTCGTAGGTAAATTTCAAAGATATGTACTTCCTGTTAAACCGTACCCTCACTAAAGCACCTTATTCACAACTGCTATGATGTTTACTGCGTTCCCTACTTTTCACTGCTAATTAATCAGACCTCTATTGCAACGCCATAACATTGGGTCCAGCTTAACTTCCACATCTGGAGCTACAAAGATTTTTTTTTTTCTTTTTATATTTAAATACAGTAAATTATACTCTTAAAAGACTTCAGTGAAGAATGTATTCTTGACTGGTTTTAAACAAATTACTAATTCGTATACAGTTGTTAATAAGCATGATCTTCAAAACATATAGCCCTTTTCCTAGAGCTTGATAGCCTTGATCTTAGTTGTCAAAAATACCAAATGAGCTGAGTTCCGACACCATATCCAATAAAATCAACCGGCAACTAAATCCCATAGATATTCCTCTCCCTTAAAGTCTATTAAAATTATAAATTACTTTCCTAAAAAAAATATTATAAATTACTCTATATCGCATCTTAATAGTAAACTACTGAAACTTGGTTCAATTGAACTCTTAAACATACCTGATGAGGTAGGACATTTGGATGCATAAGGTTGGTCAGGGCAAAAGCAAGTGAATTTATTTCCGCGGAGATCATTCCCACACTGACCACCTGATTCTACACACATCTTACAT